GGTTGTTGTCTTCTTAAATTCTCCAGAAAAAGATTTCAAGGTTCCTTAATTATGAATTTTAGGTATTACATTTATTTGATTCTTTAAAGGGATTGTCAGTTTCATTCAATGAGTTCGAGGGTATCTACTTAATATTTTGCTGATAATCTGCTACATGATGCTTTAAAAATTATCAGTGATATTTCCGCCCTCCGAGTAAAAATGTACCAATAATAATAATAATAATAATAATAATAATAATAATAATAATAATAATTCATTGATGTTCTTAACGAAAGTTTTTATTTCTGTCTACTTTTTTCTCCCTTTCTTAGCAGTGCTTCGACTATCTATTTTTTTTTATTTGATAAAGTCATTATTATATAAAATATTAAATATTAAACGTTTAAAGTTTCAGATCTGTATGTATTTTGTCCTTTATTGATTGCTCAAACATCGTTTAAAGGCCAGGAATATACTAATTAATAATGAATATATGTTTATTTTCTTCTTATTTAGGATTTCTTTCGATTAATTAATTCGTTTTACTGAAAAGTGATTGACTTATATGTACAGAAAATTAACTTTCGCTATTTCATTATAATTATACACATCTTTTAGATAACCTCAATTTATATTAATGTATTCTAGTTTCAACTGTTTTTTTTTTTAAGATCAAGGTGATTTGTAACTTGATAATTTATACAATTTTGTTAAATTATGAATATAATTTAGCAAAAGTGTGTCACAAGGTTAAAAAAAACCCTCTAAATGCATTTATCAAAAATTCTATTTTACACTATTATATTGATATTTATCAATAATAAAATACGGTTATTAACCTAATGCTTGATTAAAAATATGTAAATACAACTAAAATATTGAAACATATTGATGTGATTTGGTACAAAAATGTTTTCTCTTTGATTCAAGTTAAAAAAAAAAAAAAAAACATTCCAGCTATCACACCTGGATGTCGCATTGGCATGTTTTAAATTTCATAGATATATGAATATATTTCTGATTTCTGATAATTAAACTAGGGTCGTTCTTAACTATGTTTCTAACGATGTCGCCTTGTTAAATATTTCATTTAGTTTTGTACATTTCTTCGAAATATGAGATATTAACTAAAGTCGAATAATTATATGTGCAACATAAATGGAATAAATTTTTCCTATTCAAGAAGAAAAAAATATACCGGTAACATTTTTTTCTGTATCATTCACACCTTAAAAATGTTTACAAAAGAAAGCAATATTAAACCTTACATTACCTTTTCTTGTTTTTCCCGTTATGTATACAGTGAACCTCGCAAATAAAGTGGTCACTTGGATCTCGTATATTGCACCCTTATAACAGAGATTCTTTATATTCATATCAGAAAAAATTTATGAGATTTGTAAAAAAGATTCTTAATTATAACCGAGATTTCCTTATAAGCAATTACTTTATAACCGAGTTTTCCTGTATTTATGAATAATTTAATTTTGTTTGTGTTCTAGCCTCTGATTGGTTAATATCCAAAAAGGAACACAAATTATTTCTGTATAACCTGGTTTGGTATGGGGACACACCCCCCTGACAACCAGCTGAATCATCTGTATCCATACAAACCTCTCATTTCCAGTCCTCGGGATTCATGGAAAATTCCAGATTTAATGAATGTACGTTTAATTTCAAACAACAATTCGATCTTACCACATGTAAACAACCAACATGGCTGCTAGGCCTATGTATCAGTTTTTACCTCCCCTCGATTCCCATCACTTCCGTTACTACGGTTGTATTATTGAGCGGCAAATTTGAACTAATAAAAAGTAACGAAATTTTACACCCATAGTTATTTAATGATTTTAAAATTAAATTATAAGGACTGACTCTAATTCTTGGCCAAATTATTAGCGTATAACCTGGTTTGAGTCAGTTTACGCTGTTTTATAATCCGCTTCTTCCTAAAATAAATGGATTTTTAAAGTGTCTCGACTTTTGATTAGCAAAAAACTTGAAAGATATCTATGATGTAATGCTCTTCATTTTTGTTCATCTACTGACCGTAATGCCAGAAAATCCTTCATTTTAACAAATTATATGGATGCTTCAATACATTGAGGTATGTTATGGACAGGTATTTCGGAGTCTTGTTTTTTTTTTCCTGATATACGTATATTTCACTTTGCTTTTAGTATCTTGGCACTTGGTATGGATTTGAACGATTCTTTTCAAAAGGAGCGGCCGGAACCACGTGTTCGAGTCCCATATACACCTTGAACGACGATGGGTCAATCCATGTTCTCAACAGGGGAATAAGAAAAAGGTAATAAAAAGAAATGGTAAAAAAAGAACCACAAAAGATACAGTCTTAAGAACCCTCTCTACACAGCACACTAAAGAGTTCTGATTCTATGATATTTTTCTGCAATTAGAGTGATCTGCCCTTAGACCTCAATTCCAATAAATGGAAATTTACAGTATATTTCTCAATTTGTAATCAAAACAAGTATTCTCAACATTTTAAAAGGCCAAGATAAATTAATTTAACACGTTATTGACATGTATTTTCTTCATGGAAGTATTACTAAACAACTGTGATTTCTGTTCACTGATACTGTGTTGTGCCTAGGGGTAAATGCCACGTACCATATATTAGAAATTAAATAGATAAGCCCAATATTTACACCTTGACTCAATATAATTTTCTCGATGTCCCAAAAACATGTTGCACTGGTGTAGAGAGGGTCATTAAATATTATTTCGCCTAAGGAAACACTAAAATACCACTTATCTTATTCATATATGCATTGACAAAACGCCCATGAGCCTTGAGGGCGGAATGATAATTGCTATGTGACCAACAATGTCTTACCTAGGGTTGAATTGACCTGAGTTTTACAAGTTGTTGAGAACTCAACCAGTGTAAAATTTACGGTGTTTTCTTGTAGTTGTAAAGCGTAATCAATGTATAATTGACATAATTCTGGTCTTTGGCCTGTGTCTTAGGAACATTCAATTCAAATTTGGTAAATTGGTCATGTATTTTTGTCATAATGCTTGCAGTATACATGCTAAATGTTTTTGAATAATATGACATTCAAAGGGTCCACTGTTTAGCAAATATTTTATAAGATTAACTTTATCCAATCCCGGGATGTGAATCCTATGAAGCAGAAGCTTGGTAGACGTTATTCCGACGAAAAACATTAATGAAGACACACGACTGAGGCAGGGAGCAATGAATCTCACGAGTTACCTAAGTGACCTAAGTATTGTTTGGCATTGAAAATGAAAAGAAATCTTATATTCATGTATGACACACAACATATACTTTGACTTTTTAAAATATTGATCTTATAATTTTAATACCGTTTACAGTAGCTCAGTCGGTAGAGCGCTCGCTCTGTGATCGGGAGGTCTTGAGTTCGAATCTCAGCCGCGACTGATCCAAGTCGATAAAAAAATGGGTAGCAACTGTTCCTTCCCAATGCGCTCGGCATTTTGAAGAGAAAGTTGAGGGTTCTTCGGATGAGACCTTAAAAACCGAGGCCCCGTTGGTTCGATAAAGAGCCCTCACTGCTCAATGGCCCAGAGTGCCGAGTGAAGGTCAAAATTTGAAGCCCTTCACCGGTATATGGTGACGTCTCTATATGAGTGAAAAATTTTCGAATGGGATGTTAAACAACATACAATCAATCAATCAATCTTTTAATTCTTGATTCCATAAGTATAGACAGAGTGTATGTGTAACTTCTTCATTCTTTGTGACATTCTTAAGAACAGAGAATGTTGACCGTGATTTCTTCTTTGATGATCGCCATATTAATTTATATTTGCATTTGTGGTATCTCTGTATTATATAAACATACATAGAGTAAATATCTTCTTATCTGTATGAAGTTTCTCGAAGGTCATAGGTCATTATGTGACCTAATCACACAGCGCGGTAATATCTACATAAAAATACTTACTCTACTTAGCAATATAGCATGTTTTTCATGCATAGAAATGTACAAAATACGCAAGTAAAATAATAATCATTTTATTTACAATGTTAACGAGTATTTAATACAATTCTTGATCGATTTTAAATAGAGAATAGAAAACTACGTGTTATAAGCTTCATGTCTAAGCTGCATACCCATGGCAAAGTCTCAACGTTTACCCTTATTTTTCTTGCAGACGTCAGAATGCTATAGTATTTTTTTTTTCATTAAACTTTAATCACAATAAATTTGAAAATTTGTTGGAAAATATCAATGTAATGCAATCACGCCACAAAAAGCTGACAAACACTGCTGCACTTCGAAAGTTCGGTAGGCACCCCTCCATCATCGAGATCGTTGTCCTAACAATATAAGCTGTCGCCAGTGTCACCGTGTCAATATCATAATAAATATGCCTTACTGAAATCGTAGATTTTATGTTTCTGAACAAATTTTATACCTGATTTCAAATCAACTGGTCCGAACAAGTGTCTCTAGCCATCCCTTTCCGACCGAAATTACTCCAACTTTTTATTATCAGACATCGGGCGTGTTTCTTGTTTTTCTTTTTTAAACATCGAATACAACGGTTCCCAGGAATACAAATATTCCAAGACGCCAATGATCACTATAATTGATCGCAAGTAGCCTTTCACAGAATATTCTCTTCAAAACAGAATCCTTTGCTAGATGAATTTGAAGCGTAACCGCTTTTCAAGCCGATTCACACCTTGCGTAATTTCTCAAAATCTACGACGAACAGGTAGTGCAATATTTATGTTCAACTATATTCGATTGTCCATCTCAAATGTATACATAAGTAATGAATAACAATTTTAAAAACTTAACTGGGAAATGGAGTGGTCGGTACCTGATCAAATCTTCTGAGAAGGCCTTCGGCCTTCACAGGAATTTGATCACGTGACCGACCCACTTCATTTTCCAGAGAAGTTTTTAAGCCTGTTATTTATTTCTTTATTAAATTCCCTGCAGACTTCTAATAAATTCATATATGGTTATCCAATTGTGTGTTCATTGCAGAACGGGAGAACCTACAAGCATAGAGGGTGTTGGAGTAGCCCTAGATCCAAGTGATCCTGCAAGGCTCTCTGTGAGATTCAATAATAGTGAGCTCAACATTTTTCATTCGCCTAATTATAATGTGCTTTAGATCCTGTTTGTTGAATTATTATTAAATTCTAAGCAGGATAAAAATCCAAGTGAAAGTACAAAGTAAAGCCATTTTATTCTCTTTCATTTCCCTCACATTTGTGCATTTGTAAAATTATACATGTACGTGTATTTTTAGCGGTACCTTTTGACCCCGATGGAAATTACCTAATAGTTAAAACAGATTATGTCAACTTTGCTGTGGTGTATTCTTGTGATCAAAAAGGACCTTACAAGTCTGGTAAGTTGTCCACTCGGAAACACGCATAGCATCCTATGAACAAAATCGAACACTCTATAGATTCCCTCACTTTTGTGATATATAATCATTAAGTTTCTTCAATATGATTTTATCAGGTTATCATTTTTTTGAGAATTCAACATACAGTTTGTTAATAACCAGTAAGGAGGGCTTAAATGAAATAGTGTTGAAGCACCCGTTGCAAAAAAAAAAAATAAATAAATAAATAAATAAAAATAAATGTTATGAAATTTTATTTTACAGAAAGCGTCTTTATCATTCAAAGAAAACCAAGGAATCCCAGAAAAAGAAGACTACGACAAATATATAATTTTCTGAAGTGCTATGGCGTAAACCCAAAGAATTTCATACGAACAAACCTTCGACAATGTCGAGCGTCTTCCGCCTACAAGCGCTTGAAACTACTTACAATTTACTAATAGACTCACAATTAACTACTAAAATTCTACCCTAAATTTACTTTCATACGCCTATATTACAAAACTTTTTTTTTTCATTTCATTTTGCAGTAAATGTGCATCAATTTTGATAATTTTGAAACAATATCTCAGCTGCAACCTCTGTTTTAGGTAATTTGCAATTGATGGAATTTCCGGTTCCGGTTCTAGTGTTAATGACTATTCATGAAGAGTAGGTTTGATCTGTTTTAAAAAGAGTTGCACCTTATTTGTAGATGAGTAACTTGCCTTATATTTTCAATTTCCTGCGTATATTATACATTTTTTTCATATATTCTCTCTTCTAAATAAAATGTAAAATATACCTTACCTCAACTTCACCCTTTTTTTTCATTATATGATCATACTACAAACTATCAATTGATTTCACTTTAAAGGCGCCCTTTCGACAATTTCATTTGCAATCATATCGGCTGCAATTACGGAAATTTTAAGTTAACAGGGCAGACTCAGTTTGACCTGGAGAAAGGATCGAAGAATAACTTTTTTTGCGAAACATATGCCCGATTTTTATCACATGTTTACTCCTTCATAGAGTGGATATTGGTCGTATGATATTGTTTTCATTTCAACAATTGTGATGTCAAGTACATTTTTCTTTCTTTTCCTTTTGAAAGTTTTAGAGTCAAATAAAGTGGATTTATTTGTAGAAAAAAAAAACAGCATAAAACGCATTAGCTATGTAAAATATGTGATAATGAGGAACCTGTGATTTTTGCTGGATATACTGGGCCGGTAGAGAGCAAACAAATTAAGACTTTAAAGTGGCCTGATACACATTTCAAAATTGGTGAACAAACAGGTACCGCTGTTCCAAGAAAAGTGTTGAGAAATCGAGTCTTGCTATATTTTTGAGTGATTAATTTTACAATTTCCTCCTAGTAAAATTTTTGTTCGAGACTCATTGATTTGAACTACATGTATACATTTTAAGATTACATCCTGATTTTGAACAATTCTCGAGTCGAAAACACTCATATTTCCATAAAGGAATCCGTTGCCGATCATATAAACTTTTAGTCAAATTATTATCGATATAATTTTAGCAATTTTAAAATAGGCCAAACTCTGAGAAAAAAAGAAAGGGAAATCTGGCGTTTGTATGAGATTCCCCTTGGGGGGGGGGGGGGGGATTCTACTCTAGAGTACAGATCCGGGGGGAAATCGATAGAAGACATGCATTGCTTGTTCAATTCTCTTAAAATACTAGTTAAGTGTATAACTATTACTTCTAAAAAATGTATTTTAAAAAATATGAAATCTATATTTTTTTCCCTTAAAGATCACAAACACACCAGTTAAATGAACATTTCTTCATACAAATTGAATTCATCTGTTAGAAAATTATTTTTAAAGGTTAATGTGGTCTTGTTCTCACTAGATCAAGGGTATTTATGATGTGAAAGGTTATACATAAGTTTGGTGAATCACCAATATCACATGAAAATTATGTGTCAAGCTAGAACGTAACAAAAAAATGCAATTATCATAAAATATTTCACTTTGATAATAGCTTTATGATAAAAAAAAATTAAAAACTGCTTAATTATTGCATAATAAATTGTATAACATGAAAGTAATATCCTGTAAACTTATTGAGATGCGCTTTATTTTGAAACAAATATTACAATTGTCTTTGGTTTAAATGTGGAATATAATTGATGTTTGTTGAAAGAAGGTATTTCTGAAATACCTCAAAAAACTCACTCAGTATTTCGTTGGGTGTCAAAAGTATTCTAGAACATTCTTACCAAAATATTTCGAATAACAAACTCTGAACAGGCCCTACATGCTTTATTACGCTTTAAATGTCGAGATCGTAGGTTTAAAATGTTAGGGATACTAGAATATATTTCTGTAAATTATCCATAGCTGTACTCTATTACAAAGAATCAAATTTAGTGTTTTCGTATTAAACATATCATAAAACTTTTCAGTATATAATAATAAACGAGACAGTAGTATAATAGTTTTCCCCCAAAATATATACATGTATGTATAAACTATTATTATAAACTCCGATTATAAAGATTTGTAAGTGAACATCTGAACGATGTTTTTATAATCAATTATATTACTAAGTATACTGTGTATAAAATATGAGTAACCCTTGTTTCAGTAATTTATGGGAAAAAAAGCGAAGTTAACTCGTTCAAATAAAATACAAATCGGTGAACAGTTTATAAAACACGGACCTCTGAAAATTCCTGAAGTCTGCATATTTAGTGCCCATCAAAATTTCAATAGTTTTTTGGAAGACCTGGTCTCCAAAGATGACATATATGCTGTCAATGAGTAACTCCAGCATCCATTTAATGTCAATTTTGAAGCATCTCTGTGTAGAATGATGTGATTTCTGACAAAGTAAATTTGTTGACGACCAATCACAAGTTAAGAAAATTTTCGAGTTCAATTTTATTGAAGAAGCAGTTGTCTTTGATATCAAAAATCCTAATTTTTAATTTGTGATTTTGAGGAATGATTATTTAAATTAAAGAAAATCCATACGTTTTGATGTTGATAACTTAAAAAAATAATGAATTTAAATTTTCTAAACTTTAAGATTTTTTTTGGAAGCTAGAAAATCCACATCTGATTTACTCCACTTCTAGAATATGCTATAACACAGTAGGTCTGATGTTTCTCCTTTTCAGCAGTTAATATTTATATGAGGCGTAAAGAAAGAACTTTGTAGAACACTTGCTAGACATCGCAATATATATTTGATTGTAAGGATTTTATGAAGCTTAAGAATCCAGTATAGGTAAGATAGATCGAACTCGTCTTCGTTGGCTGGAATAATAAAAGTATTAACGACTGGAATGTAGGAACATAGACGATTTTGTTACAAGCCTTTTCTGCTGGAACCATAACAAATTGTTCCTGAAGTCATTCTTATTCTTTTATCTTTATTTATTTCTGTCTTTTTTGACTATTAGATTTATAATCTATTTTTATTGCATTAATTTGCGGCATTCATCAATACCGTATCTACATAAAGATAGCTATCGGTTCATGGAGAATCGTTATACTACCTTTTGTCAGGCATTATGTTTAATCAGAATCTTATTTTTGTATTTCCTCTTCATAGTAATTCTGTTTATTTTTATATCGAAATTCATGTGAAAAATACAATGATATTAAATAATCCTAGTCTAGTTAAAATTATAACTATTAATCTTCTGTTTTAAATAGATACACCGATTCCCTTATTTTGTGTGACATTACTCAGAACAAAGGATTCTGACACATATTTCTTGCATCCTAATCCTGAATGAACAATGTAATGAGTCAAAGCAATCTTTTTAATACATTCGCCTCATTTATTGATTTATTTTTTGTCGATAATGAAAAAGAATCCCTATATAATCCGTTCTTTAACAGAAAAATCTCTATAAATTGAAGGAGAGGGAGTGGCCTTAGATAAACGTGACCCTGCAAGGCTATCTGTCAGATTTAATAATAGAGTGAGTTCAACTTCTTTTTCATGCACCTAAAGTTCTCAAGTTCCTGTTTGTTTAAATAATTTGAAATTATAACGAGAAAAAAATGATGTTAAATCCAAGTTCAAGAGCATGGTACAGCTATTTTTCCCTTTTTCATTTCTCACACAATTGTGAATATTGTAAATTAATATATACATGTTCATATTTTTCTGTGAGTAAAACTCCTTAACATTGTGTTTATTGGATTTGGTTATCTCAAACAAAAAATTCATAATAAATAAATAATTGGAATTAACAGACGACTTTCACATTTACAATAGTTATTTCCCTTTGTGTTGTCCATCTGGGATTAACCGACGTAACCCACTGGGTTTTTTTCTATAATATTACTAAATTTATGGGGCAAGGTCTTGCAAATTAAATCTGTATGTATATGTTCATCATCATGTTTTCAATCATGCCCCATGCTATGGCAAGACAGGAACGTTACAAAATAGTCAGAAAGCGTTTGATAATTTAAAATATTTACAGGTATGCTGTAAAGAATGAGCAACAACTAGAGATGATGTGAAAGTCGTCTATTAGTTTAGAAAAGGGATGGATACTCGATCTTTATCTTCTACACCCATAAACCGAGGCCAATGTTTTGGGACAAGCATTGGAACGATAAATACGTCTCATTGCTCAAAGGCCCTGAGTGCAGAGTATAGGTCTAAATTGAAGCCCTTCCCTGGTGTATGGTGACATCTATATATGAGTGGGAAAAATATCGCATGGGGCGTAAAACAAGCAATCAATCAATCTTCAATCATACAGTCGCATTTTTCGTAATTTATAAGTAAATAATATTTGAACTACGCCCTAACCCTGAAACCCTAATATAGGGAAGCTTTAATATCAACAAAGTGGTGGTAGATATACATTAATGCATATATAACCATCTGTTGCAGTGATAAGCATGTACGTTTTTTAAATGATATATTGCAACTTTTTGACACCCTAAGGTATACCAGCCCTAGATATCTCTTCATGCTGTCCGGCAATGATCTGAATGAGTTAAGGTGGTTAAGAGAAACTATGGAGAATTTACCTGATATATGTCTTGTCTTTGCTTACAAATTTGAATGAAATCTTGTTATTAAAAAAAATAAGTTCTAATTCATTTAGTCTCATGTCATTATTTAAAAGGCCTAAAAGACCAAAGGACATATGAAAACCCCTGAAGCTCTTGCAGAGGAATAAACACAATACTCAGGGCTAAATGAAATCATAGTTGCTATTGAGAAAAAGGCTTTATGCAATGAATTGGGCCTATCTAAACTGAGGTATTTGTTTTTCATCTTATTTCCCTAGTGCGATGATTTCTTTTCTAGATCTTTTATGTTTAGTTTATTAAACACTATTTCTGTGGGGAAGGGGGGGGGGGACTCCATTTCGAAATCAACGATATATTTTTTTTTGCTAATAATTTAATCTTCAATAACAGTGTAAGTACATTTCATTTTTTTAAAATCATTTCTCCAAGTGTTCAAAAGATCTAAAAATTGCGTCATTGTCTCAATGAATATCATTAAAGTAAAAGTTTATTTTGTCTTTCCATTCTAACACCACGAAATGGCTACATTCCCCGAGGGCTTGTTGGTGAATATACAACAAAAGTTATCATGTTTCAGCAATGATTTAAGTTCTGCTTTTCCGCAATGATATTCAGTTTAATCTAGAAATTGTCAAATAATTGCATTTTTAAAACTTTAGGAGCTTGCCATGCTAGCCATTCATTCATGGTATCACAAAA